ACTACTCTCTCTCTCTCTCTCTCTCTCTCTCTCTCTCTCTCTCTCTCTCTCTCTCTCTCTCTCTCTCTCTTTCTCTCTCTTTCTCTCTTTCTTTTTTAATCTCTACGAAGACAATGACGATTGAGGATGTAGTTCCGAATACGGTCGCGCGAGTGACAGCTGACACGATCGTGAAACATAACGTAAAACGCGCTGCATGTCCTCTTTTATTTAAGAGGACACAAAAACGTCGTGTGATCGGGATATAAATGTCAGAAGATCATTCCTCGCGCGTTGGAAACGAGTATTCCTCCGCGAAATCAAAATTTATTCCTATCGTATAAAAATCGAATAAAAACCAAGAAAAAGCGGAGTGATTGAAAATGCATATAAAAAAAAATAATTACTTTTATATTATAATCTGCTTGTAATTGTATATCGAAACGTGGGTAAATATACTGTCGAACGAATAACATAGTTAACAATCTTTTTTTTTTCTATCTATCACGACGGAAAATTACGGAAGTTATTCCCTCTCGTCTTATCTTCGACACTCCGATCTTTCTTGTTCCCCGACTTTCTCGCTTTTCACAGTTTTCTAGACATCGCGTCTTAAAACAACGGACGACTCTCGCGAATAACTATTTCGCCTTTTATTATCCTCCTCGCAAAGGATCGAGTTACAGAATTACGAGCGTGACGCTCGCCAGAGTGCATTCGTTTATTTGGTTGGCAAGCAAGGAGAATGGCTCGTTCGTCCTAACATCTAGCTTTTCTGTTATACTGACGATCGGCCGTCACGCGAAATACGTGACGGACTTGAAGTACAAAAAACAAGTGTAACTGTATTAAACCGAGAACTGTATATATATATATGAAACGTGACATTTCTCTTCGTGTTAAGTGTTTAACATTACCGATATGGAAAAGTTTCTCCATTTTGTCTCGAATTTATCCCTATCTACGATCTTTCGCGATAATTACAATGTACACAACATACATAACACTGTTTGAAAAATTTTTTCTTTGAAAAATAATAATCGTCAGATTTTGACGAGAACCCTTCATTGGGACTTTCTTTGATGGCCACATCTTTCAATCACAGAAAGGAATCTAATAAATAACCAGTCAATGAAATCGCGCGTAAATAATCGATCGCATCGACGTAACGATTACGCTCGATTACGCGTTCGCTATTAACAGGAACTATGTTATCATTTTCTTCGCAACGTTATTACGCGAAGTCTATATCGCAGTTTAATAATGATTAATTTCTACTCATTTCCATTAAAATATCATTAATATCCTATTCATTAATAATATCCTATTATCGATAAAGAGATGAACTTCGAATCGCATCAAAGAGGAGAATTTGTCGTAGAGCAAAACTTAGATTTTTCTTTTAATTTTTAGTATCAGCTTGGATTTTTTAATAGTATGCAATGCATTACGCATCAGTGCAAATTGTTTCCTGTTAAACAACGACAAATTCATAACGATGTCTAACTTCGTTCTCTTAGACCAATTACGTTTAATAGTAAATCGCGGTAATTGTCAGCTGTCTCGCGCGTTACAGCCAATCTGCCATGCATCGAGAATACTCGCGAAGAAACTATCGAAATAAAACTAATTTTTTGCAATTCCCCCGAGTCAATTACGCGGTTCTATCGGTCATCACGATAATTATAAAACGTTTCGCGTGACGTTGAAGAGTATCACGTATCGTCTCCTGCGGTCTCGGGAATGTTCTGGGAAAAAAATCATCGTGCTCTCGCGACGACGCTTAATTTTTCTGATACTCCTTAGGTCAATTAATGTCGTTGTTATTAGTCATCGCGGTAATTATCGGTCGTTTCGCGCGATATTAAGAGGAGTTATTACGGCATTGTTATCGCCCGTCGCTTCGTATGTGTCCGTCGTATGCGCTTCGAGCATACTCGTCGAAGAAACGATCGAGCCACTTTGTGCCCCTTGAGCAGAGCGGCGCCACATCAGCGTCAATAAGCAAACGAGTGGTGCCCACATATCGCCCATTGGCCGGTTCTATGAACGGCAATTGTTGT